CATATAATACACACACACACACACACACACACACACACACACACACACACACACATATAAACATGGATGTGTCAGGGAGACAAGAAAGCAATACTCCCTGCTTTGTGATATGTCAACTAAAAGCAGAGCTGTCCCATGGCCAAGCAGCAACAGAAATAAGGGTCACCATGGAGCCACTGAAGAGGATATGCATGTTACTTTGGTGGGCATCTGGAGACCAAAATGGCTAACAATGAGTCCGTACTCTACACCATTTCCCACACTATTTTATGACATAACAAATCTGAACCCTGTGGCTGAGGGCCTGACGTTATGTAATAATGTAGTAACTAAACTTCGTGACTATGGAAACTGCAGTGTGGAGCACCAACGTTCACACTGAAAAGTAGCGAAACGCCATCAACTGATGCAGAACTCAAGAGGACAGGCACTTAGGTTCTGTCCAAGGGACTTTACGAAGCTGAAGTTTTCCCTTAAAACAGAATTTGCACACAAGGGGGCTTAGGCTTGAACATAAAAACAGTGAAGGAGCGATTCCACCTACTATGACAGAGGGCATCCTGTGCTCTTATTTATTTTTATGTAAGTTTTAGTCTTTAAGGGAAGTACCTCCCCACCCCTCCCTTGTAGTTAACAGTTGTAATTACACACTTGTTGAGAAGGTGTGAAATAAGTGCTCAGGCCCCCAAGCTGTGGTCTAGATCTAGGAACCTTTTCCTTCAGTTTTCTACAGAGAAAGGCTAGAGGTGAAAAGAAAGTGACTGCCTTCCTTCTATCTCAGCTCAAGTGGTTACTTTGAGAGAAGGGCGGAATTAGATACATGTACCCTCCCTGCTTTCAGTCTGTTGTGAACTCAGAACTCTGGGGCACTGGGTAATTAAGAATAAAAAGATCATCTTAAAATTGAATTCAGACCATAAAAGGATCTTCAGAATGTAAATCCTAGTCTATCTATCAAGCCTCCCACCAAAGAAAACATCAAAATTATTTCTGAAATGAAGCATTCTACCCTTTACTTCAAGTAATTTCAGGGAATCAGC